CCGTGAGCGCAAGGCTGCGTGGGGCCGAGCGCCCGCCTAGCCCACAGATGGGTGACGCCTGGGAAATGCATGTTCCTCGCTCCTCCTGAGGCTCGCCGAGACTTCCCGAGGCGCTGGCAGGATGCCCTCTGCTCACGCGTGTGCGGTGGGGGTTTCTGGCCAGGTCCTGGAGAAGGTTGCTGCTCTGTACGCCAACAACACGGCTGGGCTGGAGATGTTGCCCGGAGGCATGCTGGAGGCTGACAGTTCCCTCTTCAGTGCCATCATCCTGGACCAGTTTGTGCGCCTGCGTGATGGCGACAGATTTTGGTTCGAAAACACCAAGAACGGGTAAATGCCTCTTCCCCACCCGGCACAGAGCGTGGGCTGCCCACCGCTTTGCCAGCCCCAGCAAGATATAACCACCGTGGCTGGAGGAAAAACCACCCTCCAGCTTCCTCGGTTCCGAAAATTGTAAGGAGCCAGACGGTGACCCCCAGGGCCACCGCTTTGGCCCCACGTCTTTTTGCCCAGGCTGTTCACAGCGGAGGAAGCCAGGGAGATCCGTGAGACCACCTTCCACGACGTCCTGGCTGCCGTCACCCACGCAGACCCCACAGACCTCCAGCCCCATGTGTTCGCCTGGAGCGAGGGTGAGCGCTTCGCGCAACGGCCCCGGCGCGTTGGGGAGGGAAGCAGACCCGTCCCGGTGATGCAGCCGGCGACTCGGTGACGGAGGGGAAGCATCAGGCTGGCAGTTTCTCAAGCCAGCAAAAAGCGTGCAAAATGCAAGGGTTGCTTGTAAGGCCAGGCGAGCGGCGCCGGCGCTGGACATGGGCCGAAGTCCAGGCACGTGCCTTGCACGAGTCCGCGAAGGATCTCCGGGCACAAAACTGCAACTGATGCCCTGGAAGGTCGGTGCTGGGGTTAAAACTCGGCCTCTGTCTCCCCCGCGCCATGTCACGCTCCTCACTGGCGTGTCCTCCGGCTCCTTCTGCATGCCAGCACGCACTGGTCTGCAGGTTAAACCCATGACTGACCCAAAACATGAAGTTTGCAGATGAGTTAAGCTTTGCGTGCCATAACCGTAACGTTGCCTACTTTTGCTTTTAACTGCATCAACCCCTCAACGGGCTCGGGGTGCTGTACTGCAACACCCGTTACTGCCTGGCTGCTCTGCTGACAAGGCTGCTGGTTAACCAGGGCCGCTGCAAGGGCTGGCCAGGCTTTCCTGCTGCTGTGGTTGCAACAGCAGCACGAGCTGCGCCGGCCGGGTTTCAGCCTGGGGAGAGCTCAGGGCTTGCGTCCCAGAACCTTTTGGGAACTAGGAGCAGCCTAGTTCCATGCCAACATGCACCCCTCGCCCTGGTGCCCTCCTGTGCCGTCCTTGAAACAAGCTCTTCTCCCCCCACCCAGACCCAAAAGGCTCAGGGCGAGGTGTGGCCAAACACAGCGGTACGCCTTTTCTTCCTGGGATTTTGCCACACCCTTCCCATTTACCGAAAGAATTCTATTTGGCACACGGTCCAGCCCTCGCAAGGTGTTTTGCTCCCTTGGCGAACGCTCCGTGCAGTTGCACCAGGAGGACTCCCTGGATTTGCAGCGTCTGGACGAGCAGAGGCTCTTGAGCCATGATCTGCCGTGGCCCCCGGGTGCCTCTTGCTCAGCCCACCCCATCAGGCGAGGCGACGGTGCTGAACTCCCACAGCGCGCGAGTCCAGGTCTGCGCTTGGCTTGCTGTGGCAGGCAAAGGTTCAACCCAAAACCAGGGGCTGTCCCCTAAGATCTGGAGTTCAACTCGAGCACCCCTGTCTTGCAGTGCTCCCTGGGTCACTCGGCAATGAACCCCACCAGCATCTTCCTACAGAGGTTTCTGGGGACAATGGAGGTGGGTAAAAGGTCCATGACACTCACAGCCTGTCTCCCGCCATGCAGGGGATCCGTGCCCCCAGCCCCAGCAGCTGACAGCTCAAGACCTGGCCAACTGCACGCCCATGATGATGCTGGACTACTTTGAAGGCAGCGGTGCAGGCTTTGGGATCATCATCATTGTCTTCTGCTGTCTGCCTTTAGGTTTGCCACTCCGTTTCTTTACCCATGTCCTCTTCCACTGCAGAAAGGGGCTGAGCGCCCATGGACCAAGCAGGAGCTGCTGAGTCTTGGTCACTCCTGAGGTCCCTGAGTGGCCAGGGTCCTTGGGCACCAGGAGGGAGCAATGCTTTCACAGAGCAGCCCTGCATTAAATAAATCCATGCAGCGTTGGACCGGGGGTGACGGGGAAGAAACAAACCCCCGTCTGCCCCAGTCGCACAAGTGATGCTGCCAAAGTGGGAAGGAGCTCTGTGACGTCTCATGACTCTTCTCCCACATGTCCCCAGTGACTCTGTTCATTGCCTGGATCGTTGCCGTTCTCCGGAAGAGAGATTTCAAGAAGCTGCAGAGGAAGCAGGGCTCCAGTGTGCGCAGGGAGGTGTCCGGTGACGCGATACACGGTGAGGTCACACTGTCGGTCCCGTGACGGCATCTGGTGATGCTGCCAAAGTCAGGGCACATACCGAGGCAGGGCCGGGCTTGGAGCTTATATCCAGACTGGATGTAAGGAGAAACTGTTTTCCCAGTTTCCCAGACTATTCCAGGAGGATAGTCAAGCAGTGGAGCAGGTAGCCCAGAGAGGTTGTGCAGTCTCCATCCTATCCAAGACCTGACCAGATAAAGCCTTGAGCAGACTGGCCTGACCCTGGCAGCTGGTCCCACTTTGGGCAGCTGGTTGGCTGAGGGAGCCTTCCAACCTGAGTCCCTTCCAGCCTAAGTCATCCTATGACCCTCTAATTCCAACCCTCTCCAGATCACACCTTACCTGAAGGAAATGTATGTAGAGCAATTGCACCAGTAGCTCCAGGACAAGGACTGTATCTCCTTGCTCTGGACACTGGAAAAAATATTGCTTCACCGCTCCATGATCTCTACTCCTCCTGTGTCCTTGCACTTGAGCTCTGTGGTGGGGAGATCATCATTCTTCCTTTAGCATGTGTCTGGTCATGCAATCACCTCCAAGCTGCACCTTGGGTGAAGGAGGTGCTGGGTGAATAGGAGCGCAGGTATGCCTTTCCAGCTGAGTCCTGCGCTCTCTCCCATCAGCCATGGAGTGGCACGGTCCCAAGACAGAGTGCTCTCCCATCTACATTCAGCTCCAAGCTGACAAAGTGCTCAAAGTGCTAGATGGGAGAGGGTCTATGCTCCGGAGCATCAGCTTGAAAGCCCAGCAAAGGGTGGAGGTGATCCTCTCCAGCAACAAAGGGAACAAAGCTCTGCTCCTGAAGAGTCCCAAGGAGTACGACCTGGTGAGTATCATGATGCCTGGTGTCCTGGACCCTCTAACCATGCTCTGCCACTGGTCACGTACACCCTGCACCACTCAGTCCCTGGGCACTGGGAGCAGTGTAGCTCCCTGAAGGGTAGTTGTGGCCTCCTGAGAACCACCAGGTGCAGCTCATACCATGGAGTGACCACTGTGCTCTCAGCCATTCGGTGGGTCTTTTGCAGGTGCTGCTTTTCAGCGAGCAGGCGGAGAGGAGCAACTTCATTGGGAAGCTACGAGGCTACTTGGAGGACAGTGGCCTTGATCTGCAAATGTCTGAGATGAAGGAGCAGAACCTGTTGAAACGTGCAGTCACCCAGGAGCAGAGAAAACAAATTCTGGAGACTTTCTTCAGACACCTGTTTGCCCAGGTATGTAAAGGTGTGGCAGGCTCTGATGCATGGAGGAAGGTATTTATATATTGATTAAGCAATGAATGTTGCTGCTGTTGCTTTCTGTAAGAGCTGGTAAGCCATGCACAAGGAAGCTGCCAATACCTTCAGGACCGAGGGACATTCTCCCTTGCAGAAAACAAAGGGACTTCTGCTGTGGTGGTAATAAGTACCTAAAGTTGTAAAAAGACTTTTGGATGATGTAACTGAGGTCTACGTAATGGTCAGTGGTGTTTGACATGAAAGTCACGTTGTGTAGGAGAAACATGGGACTTCCCCGTGGTATCTGCCACGAGTTTTGTGCCAGGGCAGCCATCAGTCTTTGTGCAATAGGTCAGGCAATTGAACGCGAGCCTACTGCTCTGCCAGTGCTCATGGGATCTCTTTTGTGGGACACAAACTGCAGGTGCTGGAAATCGACAAGTCCGATGCTGGAGAGCTCAACTTTGAATCTTCACAGAAGGCAAAGGAGTCTCTGACATGTGAGCTGAGCAGGGCTGAGTTTGCCGAGGCCCTGGGACTCAAAGCCCACTCTATGTTTGTGGACTCCATGTTCTCCCTGGCCGACAAAGATGGCAACGGCTACATCTCCTTCCGGGAGTTCCTGGACATCTTGGTGGTCTTCATGAAAGGTGGGAGCTGGAGCTGGTCTTCATCCGTTGCCCTCAATCCTGTTTCTAGGCTCTGGCAATGCCTCCAGCAGAGCAAAGGACAAGAACCATCCAGCAGATCAATCTGTAGACACTTCTACAGTTTAAAATTCCCTTCACTTAGGACAGCTTCAACTTGAGTGATGGGGCAGTGACAATCTAATTATGTTTTCTGTAAGACCGTCCATGAGGGGAGCTATCTCAGAGCCGTGATTTATCTGTCGCCACCATACACAAGTGTGCCTGGTCTCCTGAACAGACCACACATCCTCTCCTTGACAGATGATAGCAACTCTATCCGATATCATATCCGATCCTCCCTAAATGACCACGGGAAAGGCAGATTCATAGATGGAGGTGGTGAATGCCAGATTCAATAAAAGCAGATCCCAGAAAAAATCATTGCTGTGCAAAAGCACATTTTGAGTTTGCAAAATAATGCACAAGAAAGAACATGTATCTACCTGATTTTTAACCTTGAGAAAATCAAGCAGAAGGGTGGCACACTATTCACTTTCAGTCGCTATTCAAGCTGCAGTCAGCAGTGTGCTTCCAATCTTTTCAGAGTTGGGTGAGACTTCACTGTTGCAGGTCCAAGACTCTCAAGGACAATGTTTGAAAGCACTTTGGCTGGTGAAAATAGGAACTTGTTCTTGCTTTGTGTCTCTCCCTCCCCACCAGGGTCCCCAGAGGAGAAGTCCAAGGTGATGTTCAGGATGTATGACATTGACGAGAATGGGTTCCTCTCCAAGGAAGAGTTTCTGAGGATGCTTAGGTACTTCTCCTCATCTCACTAGCTGTTTTCACAATGTCTGTAAACATAGAGGTCTTCAAAAGTAGCTCTGATTTTCTGTGCTTCACTCCCAAGAGTGCTACATGAGAGCCCATGGGCTCAATACTCACAACCAAGAGCTCACTTCTCCTGTGAAACTGGCCTGGGGCTTTGCCCTGTGTTATTTGAAGGACTCAAGCTGTGGTCCTCTGAAGTTCCCGTCTCCCATCCTTGCTCCAGGTCCTTCATTGAGATCTCCAACAACTGCCTGTCAAGAGACCAGGCAGAGCAGGTGACTGAGTCCATGTTTCGGGCCTCAGGGTTTCAGGACAGGGATGAGCTGACATGGGAGGATTTCCACTACATGCTGCGGGACCACGACAGTGAGCTTCGTCTCACCCAGCTCTGCATCAAAGGTCAGTGGGCAGGAGCACTGGGTCACCTCAGGCCCTGCAGGGCTGGAGGCAATAGGCAGCACCCAATGCATAGCTCCCAAATCTTGTCCCATCTCCCAAATCTCTCCAACCCAAGTCCCCATGGGACAGTAACGGGGCATCAGCTTGTTGCTCCGTGTGTGACATGTTTGGATCAGCTCAGAGCCTCTTCCTACCCCACCCCTGCCCAGGGGAGATGCCTAAACCTTGTCCACTGCATCTCACGTGCTCTGAACGGCCACTTGTCCTTTTGGCTCTTCAAAGGTGTCCCCGAGGTGCTCAAGCAAAACCTGCACAACCGTGTCTCCTTCATAAAAAAGGAAGAGCCGAAAGGGTAAGAAAGATCTCCTCCTTAGTCTTGCTGCTGCTGCTATTTCTTCTTCTCTTTCTGCCCTGAGGCATGTCTGTCCTTCACCTCAGCCCCTCCAACAAATGCTCCCACTGGGTGTTCACATGCCCAGTGAAACTGGCATCCCCAGTGAAGCTGGGGAAAGGGGATGACCACGCTGGGACATGCCCATGAGCAAGCCAGGTGCTGCGGTGGGGCTGCTGCCCTCCCCTGGTGCCCAGGTGGGCAGAGGGGAGGAACTGCCTCCTGCAGAGCCCCCGTTGCATCCCCTACGTGGGGATGGGAGTCCTACCTTGCTTTTCAGAGAGAAGAGTTATTCTGAGTTAATCCAGCCGCTGCACTATGCAGTTAAAGTTAATGCAAGCAGGCTTGCAGGAAAGAGCTGGACACCTTCTCAGCCGAGCCTGAGATGGAAAGTGGGGAAATGGGGACGATTTTGGCAAGCCCTTCCTGCAAATACAGCTTTGGGCTTAGACATAGCTCTATTCCCAACAGAACCATCTCAGAGGAGGAGAGAGACACAAAACTGGACACCGTGAGCCACTACATGGAGCGAGAAGGACAAGAACTGAGGAAGAGACTGGGCAGAAAGTGAGTATGCCCTCTCCCTGCCGGGCACGCTCCTCGGGCTCAGGTTCAGCCTATTCGCTGTTTCTCCTGTCTCTGTGTCAGACTGGGTAGTCAGTCAAGCGGCACTTGCCGCCAGGGAGCCGGCACCCCCGTGGCGGTGGTGCAGCGCAGGGAAGGGACGCGAGACCATCGCGCTGAGGAGCAATGGGAACAGCCCCGTCTTGGTGGGGATGGTGCCGTAGCTGGGTCTGGTTGATGTGCCTCTATTAAAAAAAAAAAAAGAAAGAAGTAGCCAACTCCAGAGCCTGGGATAGTGGGTTTTAGCCCATTTGCCTGGCAGGTCCTCCCTGTGCTCCTCTGGTGCAGCGCAGGGAAGGGACGCGAGACCATCGCGCTGAGGAGCAATGGGAACAGCCCCGTCTTGGTGGGGATGGTGCCGTAGCTGGGTCTGGTTGATGTGCCTCTATTAAAAAAAAAAAAAGAAAGAAGTAGCCAACTCCAGAGCCTGGGATAGTGGGTTTTAGCCCATTTGCCTGGCAGGTCCTCCCTGTGCTCCTCTGCCCCTTGGGATGCTGCCGGTTCACCCGTGGGCTGCCTGCAAGAGCTGCGGGGAGAGACCCCAGTCCTCACTGCTGTGGCAGTAGCAAATATTTTTACAAGTAAGAAGTTAAGCACTTGTTATTCACAGCCAGAATATCCTGATTTGCCTTAATAGCTCCAAGGGCCTCCCCCTACCCCAGGACTGGTTTGGAGGGTTGAATATTACTACGAAAATTATCTTTTACAGTTCTTATCTATTATTTTGTTTATGAGTCACTATCTGCACATTTGTTACCAGCTTTCAAAAGTGTGTAGACTGCAGGATGACCTGTGACCAATTGCTGGCACTGTGCTCTGTAGGCCACCGCCATCACCGGTGCGCAGAGGTGGTCACAGTGCTGTACGGCGAGGAAGACCCACATCTGGGCAGCATGGCCCTGAGCCATACCTTGCAGGTTAAACCTCAGAATGACACCAGCCCTCCTGAATTTGACAGGGTGAATCAGTACCAGCTGCATTTGTACACCGAAGCTCAACGGAAGAAGTACGAGCGGAACAAAGTTCAGCAGAAGATCCAGGAGTTCAAGCGCTTCGTTGAGAATTACCGGCGCCACATTGTCTGTGTGGTCCTCTTCTCCGCCATCACTGCTGGCGTGTTCGTGGAGAGAGCCTACTGTGAGTGCCCATCCAGCCCTGCTGCCCCAGATGCCGAGGGGTGCCCGGGCTTGGCTCCTCAAAGCTGCTGGTTGCATGGGGCATGGCAGGGTGTGGAAGGGCCCGGCACAGCTTTGGGCAACACTGTTGGTCCTCGCCTGGAATAACCAAAGAATTACTGAGGTTAGAAGGGACCTCTGAAGGGGTCTGGCCCAATGCCCTGCTCAGAGCAAGGGCAGTTTCAAAGGTGAATCAGGCTGCTGAAGTCCTTGTCTAGAGAAGGCTGGAAGAGCTCCGAGGCTGGAGATCCCATCACCTCGGGCCCATGCTAGTTTTTGACCATTCTCCTTGTGAAGAGCTTTTATTTTACATCAAGCCTGAATTTCCTTCAGTAAAACTCATGCTGTTGCCTTTCATCCTTTCACTGTACATCTCTGGGA